CCTCTCAGATGCACTAACCAACTTATGTTCATTTATTGCTGCCAGATGGGCGTAGAGTATCGCACCAACATCTGTTCTGGGAGAGAAGCTGGCACTTTTAGGAATTTAAATAAAGCTGCTGGGGTAGAATTTTGATCCCAAAGCCACAAAATTCCCAGTTTCTCTTCATATCTTCATTTTTCCTCCATGGACAAATGATCCAAATACTCTTGGCTGCAGACGGGCGAAAGAAACAACACTTTTGTTCTGCAGTACCGCCCACTATCTACTATTTGCTGTTATGAAGGAGTAAGTGTTTTGCCTGCAAGGGCAGCAAGTTGGTCACTTAACTGAAAACTATAAATTAATGCTATTCTGTGTCGAGCCCTTGTAAATAAGGGAGCAGCTGAATGGTTCGTGTGTATGTGCGCACTCAGCATGAGGAGTCACTGAGTCAAAGATTTGGCGCTGCACTCTCAGCTTTTCTGTGCTTTATTTGTGTGTTAAATTTAACATTAAATTGCAAGCTTCAAATCTTTATGTGATTCGTTTAAATATTCTCCCCCAAAATCTGGTGCCATGAAGGGGAAACAAACAAAGACACATGCAGTCAAACCTGTTCCCACCACTTTCTGTAGAAAAACTGATGCTGCGCCCCTTCTTGAAATCCCAAACGTAGGTCTTTAACCTGTTAGCAGTCGGACGTACCGCCCACGGTACATTGGATGGTTTAGGGGACTAATTGTAAATTTGTAGGACTGCTAAGGGGTTAAAGCCAGGATGGGGTCAGTAAATCTGGCGCATGGACGCTTATTTTTGCAGTTGACCTCATTAGACATACAACTGCAGGAGTTTTCTTTTCAGATCATCAAAGGATAGCAACAATGCAAAAACCAAAGTGAGATGATGGATTTGCAGTATTCATTTTTAATCAGAAATCGATCCATAATGAACACAAGTGCAGGCATACAGCTCTGCAACAGCGCAAATCTCTTGAATGTGTTTCTTTCTTTCTTCTTTCTGATCTGTAATATATAATCTGTTTGCAATAATCTAATGAGACTCACGATCAGGTGACACGATTACTGTGTAACTTCAGAACTGTGATTTGTCAGGATCTGATGATAAACAGCTTTTCGTTCTTCTGTAAATCCTGCACTCCATCTGAGCAGCCAAATATATAACTTTTACATACGTTAGCCAAAACTGAAATAAGGGAGAGAGATAGCATGGAAGTTAAATAGAAAAAGAGAGGGAGAGGGGCAACTGTCCCACAGGAAAGAATGAAAACGTGACAGAAGACACATCCAGGGAGGAGACAGTTATAGTATCATAACATGTGAGCACTGATGGTCAGAAAGATGTTCTCCAATCCTGTCTACACTCAGAAACAACGACATAAACCTGCATGTGCATGTGTGCATCGCCCACAAGCTACACATATCTAAACAAATAGCAATTATATTTTCAACATGCAACAAAACTGCTGAATAGAAGGGCTGACTGTGTTAATATGTACAGTCTGTGTCGAGGAAAGCCTTCCATTCTCCCCCCTTATCATATAATTCTCTGTGAACACATTTGGCTTTGTGAATGTCTCAATAACAAGCAGGCTGAAATGAAAGTCTGGATTTTTGGTGATTTTGTGTTTGGGGTGCACTGATTGCAGGTAAATGAATGCAGGCTGGAAGGAATCTCAGTCCTAAAATAAATTGATTTAATTAGTGACTGATGGGACTTGAGGAAAGTAAACGTTTGCAGTTGTCCTTCTAACATGCCCTTAGCATCATTACCATTGCTTTGATCTCCGTGTGGTTTTCTGTTTGCGGTGCAGGGATGGGCTGGGATGATTCGGCCTAGTGTAGAGCCATGCACTCTAAAACTGAAAGACAATAACAGGGCGCTGCACAACATGAAGGCACATTTTCCACTACATGATTTTGAGTGAGTGTTTCAAACTCAGCCTGTAATATACCAAATACATATTATCAGCTTGTTTCATAGCAGCAGATATACTGCAGCCAACCACATTAGTGAGAAAGGCAAAGAGAGCATTTTGTAGAGCTGCCATACAGCACTACATACTGTCTGCTGTCCATGCATCTCTGGTAAAATGTTAGTTGATACTTAGTCCAAATGAGATTGTTGTTTTTACTACTTTATTTTCCTTCTATACTGTTTTGTTTCAGAAATACTTTGTAATGGGACCTTAAAAAAAGAGGTCCAAGAAAGGGATTTCCAGTAAATATGGCAGAAACATTGATGGTGTGGGTGACCATGGTTCAGGGGGTTGGGAAGCTCATCTTGTAACCGGAAGTTTCGATCCCCAGCTCTGTTTGTCTTGGTCATTGTGTCCTTGGGCAAGACTCTTCACCTACTGCCTACCG